TACTATTTTTTCCTTAAATCTTTGGTAGAATTCACCAGTTAACCCATCTGGGCCTGCTGCTTTCTATTTTGGAAGGTTATTAATTATTGACCCAATTTCTTTTAAAAAATGGGCCTATCAGAGTGTCTATTTCTTCTTATGTGAATTTTAGCAAATTGTGCCTTTCAAGGAATTGGTCTGTTTCATCTAGGTTATCAAATTTGTAGGCATAGGGTTGTTCATAGTAGTCTATTATACCTTTAATGTCCATAGGATCTGTAGTGATGCCCCCTCTTTCATTTCTGATATTAGTAATTTGAGTCCTTTCTCTTTTATTCTGAGTTAGCTTGGCTGGAGATTTATAAGGTTTTATTGATCTTTTCAAAGTCACTTATTTTTTAACATTAATAATTTCACAAAATAGCACATTTGTTTCCATTGTGAGGCTTCAGTGCCAATGTCAAGTTTAACTTTAAGCTCAGCAGTAAGTTATAATTTTAATTCTATTATAAAGTTAATTGCTCATTTCTTGTGTTAGGTGCAGTGCTAGGCTCTGGGATACATAGACGATCAGGAGAGATTGGGCCTCTGCCCTCATAATCCTAATTTAACACAGATGATAGACCCTCATAGTCTATCACAATGTGCTAAGTGAGGTTATGTAGGTGTTAGGAGATGTTAGCAAATCAATTAAGTGCCCAGTTCCCATAGGTGTGATTAATTTGGTTAAATGTCAGTGTCAGATGATAAGTAAATACTTCTGTAATACCAAGTAGTTGCTCACGTTTCATTAATTTGTTAACATTGTTATTCTGTACCCTTTATGGAGAAGAGGAATATATTCAAATCTTGGATCTACCACTTGGACAAGCTATCTAATGTCTCTGAGCCTCAGTTTATACAGTTATTAAATGAGGTTGAAGGGACACTCAGTGTTTTTATAAAGAATTACTGAGTTGTTCCATGAAGACTCTTTAGATTATTGCCCAGTACATAACAGGCTTTTAATAAATACTTAGTGTTAACATTGCTATTGCCAAACAGGATAGAGCTGATGAATGAGTCCAGTACCTGCAAGTGCACCAGAGAGCACTAGGTGGCAGCACTGAGGGCTCGTTTTCCGCTCACTAAATCTCTAGCAATGCTCTGTATTCACCCTGCTCAGCTATGCTGTGTCTCACAGATTATTTTTTCTTAGTTGGGGACACTTTCTCACCCTTTATTCTGAAAGGGCATATTGTTACTGGCAGGCAATTTGATGTTTTTTATCCTACCAGGTCCTCAAGAGGGGAAAATTGGTACAAATTACAGGACCTTGTGTTCTTCAATTATGCCTACACTGACCATGTGGTATATCAGTGTACATCTGCCTTTGCTGGGGGACCAACCAAAGAGAAATTGTGGAATTACACTTGCTCTCAGCTGCCCTGTGGCCTATCCTATCCGTGAATGTCAGAACTGGGACCAGGACTAGTGTGCCTTCAACTAGGCAGTGCATTTGTGAGCTGGCTCATGTTCAGTGGCCCAAATAACACTCCAGCTAGGCAAGCAGAGCAAATGGGTTCCAATGCAACTGGTTCAATGCTGGATCAGTAAAAATAAATAAATAAATAAGATAAAATGTCTAAAACAATTCTCAGTATAATTTAAGGCAATAGTAATATAATTTAACTACTGAAAACTTCCAAGAGTGAGAATAAAGATGTTTTTCAATGAGGATATCTATTTTAATTTAGCACAGACAAAAAATACAGTTAGAGTAAGTTGCAGCATCTCTAGTTGTCTAGTTAGAGAAGCTCCGAGCTTTCTTAACTGACCTTTGTGCCAGGCACACAGAAACTACTGGGTCAGGTCCAGCTTCTCACATTGTCCTTAAATGCCATCTTATTAAATCTTTTTATGAATTGAGATAGTGGATTTTTCTCGTAGGTCTAAAAGAAGTAAGAAGATGTGAAAGGGGGTGAGAAAGTGATTCATTCATTCTTAAAACTAACATTTATATAGAGCTATTCATCTACCAGACCTTGGTCTATCCCCAGTAAAAATACTGAAGAGGCCCTTTTCCTCGTGGTAAGAGGCAAGAGCACTGAAGGATCGAAGAGCAGTGACAGCATCAGTGTAGTGATAACTAGTTTTTGTTGAGACTGTTCTACACATTGGCACAGATAATTATCACATCTATGTTATGAGGAAGGAATTGATTTTAGCAGTACACAAAAAGATTAGACCACGTCTCAGATCAGGAATTACTCCAGTGTTCCAGAACTAGACACTGGTAAGTGAATTCAGGATTCAGACCTGGGTCTACGTTACTCTGGCTCCAATGCCTTCTCTTCTGCCCCACACTGCCAGAGAAAAGGAGCAGCCTGAGTCCCTGGGATGTGCCACCAGGAATGAAGCAGAGTTGGGCTGGAGAAGGAAACTGCAGATAACTTAGGAAGAGCTGTAGGAGGTCTTTAAATGTCAGGAAGAAGGGGGTTACCATGCTGAATCAGTGCAGCCAAAAAATGAGACAGGCACCAATCAAGATTTGGATAGAAACAAGCTGAACCACTTTATGACCTGAGTGCCCTTGCAGGTGGTGTGGGTGACATGAAAAAAACATTGTCTCCCTCTAAGAACCAGATGGGCCACTGTATTAGTGTGGTTAACAACCTGAGATTTGGAGTTGCATAAAACTGAATTATAATCTTCACTTTGTCACTTATTCACTCTGAGACTTTTGGTAATTAAACATTTTCAGAAATTCACTTTTTATATTCATAAAATAGGTGTTATTAAACTTACCTGATAGAATTACTGTGGGATTAGCTTGTATAATGCCTGCAAAGAGTTTAGCCATTGCCTAGCACATAAAGATTAATCAGAAAATGGTATCTATGATTATTTTCTGCCTTCTTTCCACTATTCCTTGAAACACCTTCATGTATACATACATGTTTGCATTAATAATGATTGTCTTTCGTTATATCTTCAAAAATGGATTGGTTTCCTGCCAGAAATCTAAATGGTATACCTCCTTGGACAGTATTTATTTCATTCATCACCCTCTCTCCATACCGACTATAGTACTATGCTTGACTCTTAGATCCTCTCCCACAGCATGCCTTGTGTGAAAGCTGAGATTGAGAGCACTCTGAACTAAGTCGTCACAAGGTAGCCTCCCTGTCTTCCTTTTTCCTCTTATATAATTTTTTTATTGCTATATAATTCACATACTGTAAAATTCACCCTTTAATGATGTAGAGTTCAGTGTTTTCTTTTTGGCATAATCAGAAAGCAGTTCAGCCAGCACCACTGTGTAATTCCAGAATATTTTCATCACCCCCAAAGGAAACCCCAAACCCATTAGCACTTACTGCCCTTTCCCTCTCCCACCATCCCCGGCAACTGCTAATCTACTTTCTGTATCTATAGGTTTACCTACTCTGCACATTTCCATTGATGGAATTATATAGTGTGTGATTTTTTGTGTCTGGCTTCATTCACTTAGCATAGTGTTTTCAAGGTTGATCCATGATGTAGCAGGTACTAATACTTCATTTCTCCCTTTCCTTCATTTTTATCCTTTTCTGTCATTAGTTATTCCAAAATACTTTCCCTAAATGGTATAAGACTTCTTTGGTCCAGCCACCCCACATGCATACCTCTTCCTCAGGTCTTTTCTCTGTGGACTGTCCTATCACTAGAACATGTGTGGCCTCCCCCACCCCACCTGTCCCCTCTCTCCCCCACATATGGGCCCACTAAGGCTCTGGTCAAAGTTTATTAAATTGGTAAAATTTCTTCATCAAATGGGAACTTTCCCATTTCCATACTCCTAAATCACAGGGTCTGACCCAACGTTTACACCTTTGCCACTGACTCTCTTTTGTTAAGGCTATGTAGTTGAGGACAGAGCTTCGAGTAAGGACTCTGGACATGTTCAGTTATGCCAACTCTGCGACTTACCAGATGTGTGTTTCTATAAAGTCACTTAATGTCTTTATCAAAGGTCTCAAAATACTCTTTTTATTCAGAATTTTCCTTTGAGGGATAAGGAAAGCAGGTGAATGTGATTTCTAAATCACAGCTGGTTTCATAAAATTGTTAGGTGTGAAACTATTACCTCACATTATTGTGGTCATTGTTGTATCTTTGGGTTTTTCTGGGAAGGTGACCATGAGGGATGAAAGGGCTCTGTGGGGGGCAGAGCTGTTAAAAGGTGCAAGTGTCTTGATGACAAATGATACCTTGGATCTTAGAGATTAGATACTGAAAAGCAATGCCAGACTGGTGGCAAAGAGGTGAACAAGCTCATGAGAAAAGCCTCATCACCCATGGAGGGCTGAGGAGGTTCTAGATTTTTATTCATCAGAAGTTGAAGGCCTGTGTGATGAGTACTGTGCTAGCTTCTGAGGATATGGTAACAAACAGAAAAAGTCTCTGATCTCATGGAGCTTATATCCTAGTGGGGGGATCAGACAATTAAATTTTCCTATTAGGTGGTGATAAGAAGAAAAATTCAGCAGGTAAGTATACCAAGAGTAATTGTATGGGTGGCCGTGCTTTAGCTAGGCTTGACAACAGATCCTTCTGATGAGGGATCATGTAAGGAGAGAGTTGAATGAAGTCAGAGAGTCGTGCAGATAACAGGCTGAAGGCTCTTCCTTGCAGCAGGAGCAGCAAGTGCAAAAGTCCTGAGGCAGCAGCATATTTTGGTGTTTTTAATATTGAGAGTGTGTTTTGGTGGGCTGGGAAAAGGTCAAACAGATGGTGGTGCACACAAGACCCTTACTTTGCAGAGCTTCAGTTTGTCCCTCCATCCAACAGGAATAAAAGGAAATCATAATCATTGCTGTATTGAGGGTGTAAATTAATGTCTGCTATGAGCTGGGGTAAAGAACGTGTTCAGAATTAGAATGAGAAGCCCTGTTACCCCAGGTGTATGCCCTCTAGCCAGGGCAGTCAGCCTCCCTTTTTTCTCCCTCATTTTTCACCCTGATCCTTTTTTGTTTGCCCATCTACCCAGGATTCTGTAAGAAGGAAGCACCTTAGCAGTCAGGGCTGGGCCAGCACAAACCAGGAGAGTGGCTACAATGACTTCAGCAATACTGGTGGACATACGGGATGAAGTGACCTGCCCCATCTGCCTAGAGCTGCTGACAGAACCTGTGAGCATAGACTGTGGTCACAGCTTCTGCCAAGCCTGCATCACTGCAAACAACAAAAAGTCCAGCATCAGCCAAGAAGGAGAGAGCAGCTGTCCTGTGTGCCAGACCAGCTACCAGCCTGGGAACCTGCGACCTAATCGGCACCTGGCCAACATAGCGGAGAGGCTTAGAGACGTGGTGTTGGGCTCGGGGAAGCAGCCGAAGATGCTTCTTTGTGCACACCATGGAGAGAAACTCCAGCTCTTCTGTAAGGAGGATGGGAAGGTCATTTGCTGGCTTTGTGAGCGGTCTCAGGAGCACCGTGGTCACCACACGTTCCTTATGGAGGAGGTTGCCCAGGAATATCAGGTGGGAGCCCAGATGGGGGGAAGGTAGGGAGGAACAGTCCTTAGCAGGAGATTTTAGCCTCATGCTCTAATCTGATTTCTTTGTAGTCCTCCTGTTAGGCTAGAGGAATGAACCTAGAAAACGTCTCCCTGGCCAAGAGTAGAAACTTTATCTCTTTCTTGCTGCTCAAGATTAGCTCTGCATGGCCTTTTGAGTAGAAGATGCTGCAAGGGGCAAATAGGGAGCTTGGTGGATTGAGTGTTGGGAATATGTTGGCAATGAGAATAAAGGACTTAAAGTGCTTCATGATCGGGTTCTTTCCCCAAAGGAAAGAGAATCAACCTGTTCCCATTGGATCCCATCCTCTGTATATAAAAGATACTTAGGCCTTCTCAGTTTTTCATCCCAGGGCAGGACAGGCTTCTGAAGTCAGCATAATCTCTACCCCGTTCATTCCATGTCTAGGCACCAAAACAATTTCATGCTTGACCTTGCTTGACTTGATGTGTTTCTTCCAGGAGAAGTTCCAAGAGTCTCTGAAGAAACTGAAGCAAGAGCAGCAGGAAGCTGAGAAACTAAAAGCTGTTATTAGAGAGAAGAGGGCATCCTGGAAGGTAAGAGAGATTCTTCCTGAAGGTTTCCTGGGACAGGAGTCAGGGCAGGGCGTAGGAGCCAAGGGCAAAGGAGACCTAGTCCTGTCTGTTTCCTGATTTGGCCAGAAGAGCTTCCCTATGCCTAATCATTCACTGCCACCCTTCTAGACAAGGGTAGTTTCTTGGTACAGAGTAGGGTAGAGGGAAGCGGGAATTAGAAAATGAACATGTCAAAAGGGAATCCTGGCTTTTGAAAACAATCGTGTAGGAGAGGAGCCATGGCCGTTGGCATCCCTTATTTCTTGATTCTGGACCTTATTCTACTGTTGAAGCTCTGAAACCTCCTAGAAAGACAGGTTAGGCACAGGCCAATCATTCCTACCTCAATACTCAAAATTGGAAGGGGAGGCTGCCTGGAATCTAAACCTCACCCAGGAATCACAGTCTCAATTTAGGAAGCCTAGATAAGGCAACCGGGGGCTCATGGTCTGGGAAGAGCTGAAGGGAGAATAGAAGAGGAAAGAACAGGTTCTGCAGGACTTACTCCCCCATTTATTCCTCCTTTCCCGGTAAGACCTGGCCAGGAAAGCAGTGCCGAGCCTGTCTCCCCCACCCCTTATAGAGGAGACCCTGAGGTCAACAGACTAGCAGCCACTTTCTCTTCTGTGTTCCTGAAGAATCAGATGGAACCTGAGAGACAGAGGATTCAGACACAGTTTAATCGGTTGAGAAGCATCCTGGACAAAGAGGAGCAGCGGCAACTGAAAAAGCTGGAGGTAGAGGAGAGGAGGGGTCTGAGTATTATAGAAGAGGCTGAGGATGAGCTGGTCCACCAGAGCCAGTCACTGAGAGCTATCATCTCAGATCTGGAACGTCGGTGTCAGGGGTCAACGACAGAACTGCTGCAGGTAAGACTCACGAAGGAGCCCCCAATCTGAGAGTCAAGGCAAAGAGAGACTAACTTTTTTTCCCTTCTGACAATGGACTGATACCCTGGTGGGGGCAAGAAAAAAATCCCTTTGACTCGGTAGTACCTCTTCCCCATTAAACTGTGCAGAGGTCACAGGTAAAGCAGAGGATAATTAAAAGTACAAAGGCTAAGGGAATGTTAGTTCATTTAGTAAAGTTCATTTGATACTGTGGAGAAGATCTGTTGTATCTGGTGATGTTCTATAGCAGCATTTCTCAATGTCGGCACTATTGACATTTTGGCCTGGAAAATTCTTGGCTGTTAGTGGCTGTCCTGTACATTGTAGGATGTTTAGCAGCATTCCTGGCGTCTACCTAGTAGATGCCAGTAGCACCCCCCAAGCTGTGACAACCTTTGAGGCACAGAGAAGCCTGGGCTCTGGCCTGTGTGTGTGTTTAGGTTGGGAGGGTGCAGTGTGTCAAGTCTAGAAATATCAGATGGAGGAGCTTAAACTGAGGTTGAAATCTGAGCAGCTGTTTTTCTGCATAAAGTGAATAGTGTGACTGAGGTTGAGGCAAGATGTACCTTGTGACATTCTGCAACTTTCAGGCTGTTTTTTATTTTCTGTTTGCTGTCTTGCTTTCCTCTTGCTCTCCCTTTGCTAGTGGAATAATCGTTTCTTTACTCATTCTTGGACCCTAGTGCTGGGGTCGTGGGGTAGTTACTTTCCACGTGTTGGAGCTTTTCCTCATTCACTGATTCTGGTTTCACATCTTCATTTTATTCTTCTTGCCCTTTTTCTTCATCTTTGATGTTGGGTTACCCTAATACTTGCTCCTTCCCCTCCTTCTTCTAGCCCGTCCACAGTCTCCTCAAACTGTAAAAATTGCTCCATAAGTACAAAAGGATCATCAATTTATATCACTAGTCCAGGCATCTGTCTAGACTCCAACACTCATTAGTATGCTGCCCAATGGACGTTTTAACTTGAGTGTTATCTCACAGTCAGTTTTTCTAGAACTCGTCCATCAAAGACACATTCTTCCTTCTCCTTTCCATATGACATTGTTGCCCATTAAGATTGGATAGCTGGGTGCAAGCCTGCAACTTTCAAGTTTCAAAATGTAAACCATAAGGATAAAGCTAACAAGAGAAATAGCCAGGAAGTAGGATCCTGATTTAATTATGTGAGTTCCTCAGTACAGCCATGCCTTACGGTTGATATAATTCTGGGTGTTTAGTGTAAGTTGGTACATCTACTACCTCTACCACTTTCCATATTCAAGCCAATTTGAATTGCGTTTCTGTCAAATGCATCCAAAAATAGCCCCAGTACAGAGAAAATAGTTATTCCTGTGTTATGTCGATCAAATCATTGGCCTTTTCTTCAGAGTCATTGAGATGTATAGAGCAGAAGTTAGGGAGACCAAATAGGAGGTCATGAGGCAATTCTGCTCAAATGAGGCAGGCAGTAGCATGATGATGGTGAAGAGCAGGGGGCTAAAAGAAGCCAAGGGTGTGAAATGGATGGGCCTGGTCTAAGATGGGACGTCAGGGTGAATATAAGGTAGTTTTTAGGACAATACTTTGTCTAAATTTGGTGACTGAATGGATACGGGTTTCCTTGAGGAAGATGCAAAATAACAGGGGAGATCTCATGGTTGCAGAAAATGTAAGTTTTCTTTTCAACATGTTGAGTTAGTGATGCCTGTGGATCATTCGGTGGAGTATATACGAGAGCTCTGAGCAGAAGTACGGCTTTGGGAATCATTAACATGTGTGTGTGTTAAAATCAAGAAAACTAGATGAAGTCAGCAAAGGTAACGTAGAGGGTTAGAGGAGGTAAAGTTTGAGAAACAACCATATTTAAGGCCCTTGTATCCTCAGCATCAGAGAATGTAAGCAGCTCCAAGACAGGAATTATGACTTAATCATGTGAGATTCTCTAGAGCCACACACAATGCCTGGCAAATAATAGATGATGTGCATAAATAATATTTTACACACACACTCTATTGTAAAAAAAAAAGGTACTATGAATGAATTAATCATCTCCCGACATCCCTACATGAAGTCTCAGGGACAGTCTGCCCTGAGTTCCTATCTCTACTTTGTGGCCTCCATATTGGGGCCGTCTTTAGTCCCATCGTTTCACAGGGTGGTGGGGATGGGATGAGGAACATGGATGAGGCTCGTTAGAGGACAAAGCCTATTACTCCTTCACTTAACATGTCTCTTTCCTCCCTAGGATGTGAATGATGTCACGAAAAGGTATGTGTAGGAGAACACGAGGTGGTTCCCTTGGATTGACAAAAGATTCCTACATAGAGTTATCTTGTGGTTAGTAGGAAAGGAAAAAAAATCACAAGGCAGGGAAGATTTAGGACTGTGGTGTCTTGATTTGTTCCTCGTGAGAATTTTTGGGTCCTCTCAAATAGAGGGTCTGGCTTGGTTTCTATGGTAGGAGAATTTGGGTGATGGGAGGTCACAAATTGGGGAATAAAATTAAGAATAAATGGTTGCAGTATCATTGACTCCCCTAGTAATCTGTGATGGAACTCCTTTTCCACAAACCTCTGGACCTGCGTCCATCCCTGATTCCAGTAGTTTATAGCTGGAAATATACAGGGATTTTCTCTGTCCGTGTATTTTATCAGAAGGAAATTTTCCATCTACATTGTTTCCCAAGGTCCAAGAATCAGTCCTGGGACATCTGCCTCAAATTTCCCTTTCTCTCTTAGCTTTGGAACAATCCATGCCTTGCTGCTTAGTTCTCCAGTTCTCCTCAGACTTCTGTTTTTCTCAGTTCGGGTAAAAACATAGCCCTGAGGTCTTGAGAAGAGTGGTTTTGGCCCTGGCTCAAAACATGTTCTTTTGTCTGTCACATACTCTGGGATCTCATCCAGCAAGGTGACATCTAAAGTTGCCCACACACCTGGTACCTTCAAGTGCATCACAGATACATGAAATATGGAGCCTGTTGTCCCTTCCTCTCAGTTTGGAGGTGAGGACATTTCCTTTCTCCAACTGGCATGATATTCCCAGAGACAGTGAATCCTAAGATGCTAGTCTGAAGGCCTTTCTCCCTAGGACTCTGGGAGACCCTAAAGCCTAAATTCACGGACTCTTCAGAAGGGAGACCTTCACTTAATACTCTCAAAGCCCCAGCAACAGGTTTCTGATGTGCTACCTGTTGACACAGACATCTCTAGCCCCTTGTGGTAGACCCTCTTAGATGGCACTGACATTTTAAGTATTTTGTATCTTTTTTAGAGGTAGCAAAAAATTTCCCGGCCATTATTTTATTTGATTTTAGACAATCTCTAGGATATAGAGAGAGAAGGGAAAATTATTGTATTTTACAAAAATAACAACAAAACAAACAAACAATGAGGCTTTGAGGGATTAAATCTTATCAAAATTTACAGAGATAGTGAGAAGGTAGTTTTTAGTCCAGATCTTCTGGGTCCAGTGTCAGGACTCTGAAGAATGATGCTAATTTTTTTCAGGAAAGAGTTAAGTTCACCAATGGGCCTGGGAGATGAGGGAGACAGAGGTGTTGAAGGAACTCAAGGTCAGCAGTGTAGGAGATTCATAAGTTCTGTTCTCTCTAGGAGTGAGTTCTGGACCCTGAAGAAGCCAGAAGCTCTCCCCACCAAGCTGAAGAGTATGTTTCGAGCCCCAGATCTGAAAAAGATGCTGCGAGTGTTTAGAGGTGAGGAGATTCAGGGGACAGAGTTTGGATGTGGGATTATTGTAGGAGTAAGAAATAAATAGAATGGAGGGTATAGTTGGTATTTGGGAATAGCGGCAAAGAGAGAGGTCAGAGAGGGACGGACATAATGTGCCGAAGAAGGTGCAGTTCATATTTAAGGGGGATTGAAATGGCCATCCTCACAGAATTCCCTGTATACCCCTCAGTCAGGTAAGGAGAGAGACGTCAGACCTGAGACTGTTGATTCCATATAATGTGATTGACTCTTTCTATCCTTACAGAACTAACAGGTGTCCAAAGTTACTGGGGTAAGTAGAAACCATGGCCTCTTTGAGCTGACATGTTCTTATCCTCTTGCACATGCTGCTCCCCAAACGTACCCACACATATTCTCAGGTATGATATGTTGATACCTACCTCCATCCCCCCAACACATAGTTCTAAGTCTTCCCACATTTCCTGCGTTTTCTCTTCTCGGTTGTCATAAGACCCATGTACCCATCCTCATCTTCTGACGTTGTACCTTTTCCCACAGTGGACGTGACTCTGAATCCACAGACAGCTAATTTAAATCTTGTCCTGTCCAAAAACCGGAGACAGGTGAGATTTGTGGGTGCTCAGCTGTCTGGGTCTCATCTGGAAGAGCATTATGACTGTGGTGTCCTGGGCTTTCAGCACTTCTCTTCAGGAAAACATTACTGGGAAGTAGATGTGGCCAAGAAGACTGACTGGATCCTGGGGGTGTGCAGTAATCCAGGGGAACCTACATTCTGTTTCAGCCAGTTGGCGAACAATCAGAATGTTTACTCCAGATATCAACCTCAGAGTGGATACTGGGTAATTGGGTTACATCATAAACATGAATATAGAGCCTATGAGGAATCTTCTGCTTCCCTCCTCCTCTCCATGATGGTGCCCCCTCGCCGCATTGGGGTTTTCTTAGATTATGAGGCCGGCACTGTCTCCTTTTTTAATGTCACAAACCATGGCTTTCCCATCTATACCTTCTCTAAATATTACTTTCCTACCACCCTTTGTCCATATTTTAATCCTTGCAACTGTGTAGTCCCAATGACCCTGCGTCGCCCAAGCTCTTGAACATTCTTCTGTCCTCGCCCACATCTGAGCAGTATCCCTTATTCTGAGGCTCAACTGTACCTCAGTCTCTCCCTTTTGACCTTCTGTTTGTCTGCCTTCTCACTTCTTTACCTTTGAACATTTACTCAATGCTAGAATGTACCCAGTAGTGATAATGAACATCTTTGATGAATCAATCACAGATCTTGAGATGGGTGGCTTTCAACATTTTACCATTAAACATGGTATTTAATAAAGATTTGTTTTGTTGATGTATGGGATCAAATTTAAGAAGTTCTCTTCTATTAATTTGCTGCAAATTTTTGTACTGAATGGAAAATTAAATTTCAAGAGATATTGTTTCTGTAATTATTGAGACAATCATATGTCATTTTTATTCTGTTATTGGAGTACATTGATTTGTTTTAATTATTATATCTAACACAAATTCCTGAAATAAATCACTGTTATTCCCCAAATGCAATACTGGATTTGTTTTTGCTAATACATTGTTTAGGGTTTGTTTTCATCTCTGTTTGTGAAAGAAATGGACATGTAATTTTACATTCTTGTGACATTGTTGTCGGGTTTTATAAAATGCAATTAATGAACAAAGAAGTCCTGTATTTTTATGTAAGTATATATAGGATTGAGTGCTAAAAACCATTATAATGTTAATTTGGGTCACTTTAAATTCAAATTAAAGAGATTCCAATTTCAGTTTTCACTACAACCTTCATGGATCTTAAAAATTTAAGGGTAGGGGCCGCCCGTGGCATAGTGGTTAAGTTTGCACATTCCACTTTAGCAGCCCGGGGTTCAAGCATTCAGAGCCCAGGCATAGACCTACACACCGCTCATCAAGCCATGCTGTGGCGGCATCCTGCATACAAAAAATAGAGGAAGATTGGCACAGATGTTAGCTTGGGGACAGTCTTCCTCAAGCAAAAAGAGGAAGATTGGCAACAGATGTTAGCTCAGGGCTAATCTTACTCACCAAAAAAAAAAAAAAACAAAGGATAGAAATTGAAAAATAAAACAAAAAATTTTCCAAATGTTGGGCCGGCCCCGTGGCTTAGCAGTTAAGTGCGCGCGCTCCGATGCTGGTGGCCCGGGTTCGGATCGCGGGCGCGCACCGACGTACCACTTCTCTGGCCATGCTGAGGCCAAGTTCCACGTACAGCAACTAGAAGGATGTGCAGCTATGACATACAACTATCTACTGGGGCTTTGGGGGGAAAAAAATAAATAAATAAAATCTTTAAAAAAAAAAATTTCCAAATGCATGTAAGTAAAAAAAGGGGAAGTCAGGAAAATGATCAATACAAATTTTCTCCCAGAATAGGAGGAAAAGGTAAAGAGAAAATAGTTAATATAAAGCACTTTTAGGAAGAGAATGATTTCTTCCAGCCTTTCCACACCCTCTTCTTCATGCTCTAACATGAACAGCTAGTGAATGAGTGTCTATGACTTTGGTAGAGAGGTGCTATATGCTTCTTGAGCCAACTGTAAAAGAAATTATGAGGTGGATGTGAGGGTGGAAAGGAATATCAAGGAGTTGACTAGAGCTAGCTGTCCAATATGGTAGCCAAGAGCCACCAGTGGCTACTGAGCACTTCAGATGTGACTAGTCTGAACTAAGATGTGCTGTAAGTGTAAAATGCACACCAGATTTTGAGGATTTAGTTCAAAAAATAATACAAAATATCTTATTAATAACTTATATTGTAGATTGCAATGATAATATTTTGGATATATTGGATTAAATAAAATATATATTAACTTCACCTGTTTTATTCCACTTTTTTGATGTATATGCTAGGAGATTTAAAATTAAATATGTGGCTCATTATATTTCTATCAGACAGCTCTTCCTGTAAGGCAGTTGCCATCCCCGAGGGGGCCCTAGTGTAAGGCAGATAATGTTCATCTCTACACAGACCCTCTACCCCTCTGAGGCATTTTTGTAGAAGGTAATGGCAGAGAGAAGAGGATCTCAACATACCTAGAAATTTACAATTTGGAAGATCATAGATAGGGATCGTGCCAGAGAATATGACTGCCTAGTCTGGTCCCTGCCTTTAGCCCTCAGTCTGTTAGACACTTGAAGTTCCTTCATGGTTTGACGAAATACAGAAGTCCTCCCTTCCTTATCTGCAGTTTCACTTTGCATAGTTTCAGTGACCGTGGTGAACTGAGGTCTGAAAATATTAAATGAAAAATTCCAAAAATAAACAATTCATGAGTTTTAAATTGCATGCCTTTCTGAGTAGTGGGATGAAATCTCGTGATGTCCTGCTCCATCTGGCCCAGGATGTGAATCATCCGTTTGTCCAGGGTAAGCATGCTGTATGCACTACCCACCCATTAAGCTCATTAGGAAAAAACATAGTATATAAAGGGTTCCGTACTATCCCCAGTTTTGGGCATCCCCTGGGGGTCTTGGGACATTTCCCACCTGCATATAAGGGAGGACTGCTGTACTAGTTCATCCTCAGGGCACAGTTCTGGTGTCTGGTGAGATGAAGTACAGGTTACAGTAAAAGTGCAGCACTGGTTTGCTCTAGGGTATGGTTTCATTTGGGAGATCAAATTTGTGGGAGACCAGAGGCCAAATGTATACTTCTCGTCCTGTTCTGCTATTCAATTGGAAGCAATATGGAAGGAGATACAGCAGGCAAACTGCCCATGGAGCTGGTGGAAGTTGGGGGATGAGAGATGATTGTAAAAGAGAATCTGAGTAATTGCTCCCTTCCCACTTATTTTCCCATGTAGTAAGTTCCAGGCAAAAGGAGTTAGCCCAGCTGTCCTCTACCTGTGGAGGTATCCAGTGAATGACCTTGGATAATAAGAAAAGCCAAAGTATTTGCTGAGATTCTGTAGGTGACATTTGGGGAAGGTTGCCCAATCTGAGATTTGGAGAGAACTTAGAAGATTGTTCTTTGAATTTAAACTTTAGAATGAGTTTACAGCCCTGACTTTCTCTTGGGGGAGTCTGGGCACAGGCCTACTGGCCTTGACATTTTTGGTGAAATGCAGTAAAGCTAAACTACTATGAAAAATAAACCCCAAAATGTCTAATGGATCAAATACTAAAAACAATTTCTCATTCATGTAAAAATCTAACATGAGTGTAACCAGTGGGTGAGTGGCACTGTTCCCTTTGGGATTTATGGACCAAGCTTTCTTCCATTTGGGGCTCTGCCATCCACTAGGACAGTAGTGTCATTAGCATCAAGCCAGCAGAAGGGTAAAGAAAACTGGGGAGGCAATTTGCTTCTTAAAACCTTAATTCATATACAGGATTCATAATTTCTGCTCCCTTTCTGTTGCTGAGAATAGCCATGTGGCCACACATAACTGCAAGGAAGATTGTAAAAATGTCTTCTTGTATGCAGTTATGTACAATCAAATTTCAAAGGAAGGAAAATGCAGTTTTTTGTGGAGACCTAATGGTCTGTTATACGGGACACTAAAAGGAGTGCCTGGAACTTTAAGCAACTCCTCTTCCTCATTACAGAAGACCCAGGATCTCAGCATTTTTTTGGGGGCTATGTTTATTCCATCCTATAGCCTAAAGTTCATAAAGAGAGCAGGGGAAGAGTGATGCTCTCATCGGAGTTCTAGGCAAGTGGTATAGTTACCCTAACATTTCTCAACAAGCCTGTGCTTGCTAGAGCTGGCATTTACTTTTGATTTGAATTTAAAGGATTTTTTTTTAGCATCTTTTTTTGTGATATAATTGACATACAGTAAATTGTACATATTTAAAGTGTACAATTTGATGCGTTTTGACTTGTGAAACTATTATCACCATCAAGATGTCTACCCCCCTCAAAAGGTTCCTCCTGCCCCTTTGTAATCCCTCCTTTCTGTCCCTGTGCACCACACACCCATCCTCTAGTAACCACTGTTCTGCTTTTTGTCACTGTAGTTTGCATTTTCTAGAACAGAATCATTCAGTATTATTGTCTAGTTTCTTTCATTCGCCAGGTTGTTGCTTATATCAAGAATCCATTCCTTTTTTGTTGCCTAATAGTATTCCATTGTTTGGCTATGCAACAACTTATCCATTCTCCTGTTGATGGAAATTCGGGTTGTTTCCAGTTTTGGGCTATTACAAATATAGTTGTTATAAATATTTTTTGTACAAGTCTGCCAAAAAACATATGCTTTCATTACTTGGATAAATATTTAGCAGTACTGAAATAGCTGGGCTATGTAGTAGGTATATCAATTTTTTTGAAACTGCGAAACTATTTCTAAGGTGATCATACCATTTTACATCTGCCTTATCAATGTATGAGACTTCAGTTGCTCTACATCCTGGCCATGACTTGGTTTGGTTTGTTTTTAATGTTAGACATTCTAATAGATGTGTAGTGACGTATCTCATTATCTTTAATTTGCATTTCTCAAATGCCTAGCGATGTTGAGCATCTTCTTATGTGTGATTTTTGTTTGTTTTTTTGCCATCTGCATATCTTCTTTGGTGAAGTGTCTCTGTCGCCAAGTGCCTCAAGAAACTCAAAAGTGCGTTTGGAACCACCAGCCACCCTGAAACTGACCAAGTGAGGCGCTCAAGGAAGATGTAACCTCTAGCCATCCTGAAACTGACCAAGCCTCAACATTAGAGCTATGCCCATGACCTTTGCCTTATTTTAATGCAAGGATCTCTCCAGGAGGAGCTTAGGCCTCATTATGTGGAAGCATGTTCTCCAACTGAGCCTGTGCAAACAAATACCAGCTCCTCCCTTATGAATATTCATTCCCCAACCAAATAAGAGTTCCTGCTTGCCTTTGTTCGGGCATGCCATGACTTTGGAAATGATTCTTCATGGTCTCCTGTTTGCTGCAAATACATTTTACTTTGTGAGACAACTTCCACTGGTGTAGAGTCTTATTTAACTCATCAGGAAGTGAGCCCACTTGGTTCGGTAACATCTCAAATATTTTGCTTTTTTTTTTTTTTTTTTAATTTTTTTTTTATTTATTTTTTCCCCCAAAGCCCCAGTAGATAGTTGTATGTCACAGCTGCACAACCTTCCAGCTGCTGCATGCGGGACGCGGCCTCAGCATGGCGGGAGAAGCCGTGCGTCGATGCGCGCCCGGGATCCGAACCCCGGCCGCCAGCATCGGAGCGCGCACACTTAACCGCTAAGCCACGGGGCCGGCCCTTTTGCTTGTTTTTTTATTGGGTTGCCAATAAATATTTTTTTTTTATTTTCTTCTTATTGAGAGTTCTTATATATTCTTGATATAAGTCCCTCATTAGATATATGATTTGC